CCTTATATAGTCAGAGTTGTTTATACTAATGGGGCCGTGGAGGTATAAAACCCAAGAATGGGCAAACTTTTAAAGTTAGTGGACAAAGAATTAAGCCATTCTTTGAGGATTTCTCACCTAAGGAGGTTGTTGAGGAACTATTTGATCCTCTGTATTGGGATCTTAATTCTGGGTAGTTCTTTTTAGTTGGTAGTTTTTATTTTTACATTTTGTGTATAGTTTATTTTGTTATACTTACTTCTTTTTTTAGTTCTTTTATTATTTTGCAAGTAGTAGTTTTTCTTTTGGAGGTTAGTGCCAAGTGTTTTCTGACCCTAGGTAATTTCATTTTTCTCATTGCATGCCTATTTTTACTTTGAGGACAATGCATGATTTAGTTGGGGGGAAGTGGTGCATCATTACTATGTTACACCACCATATTATATATGAAAATTTGAAAAACAAATTGAAAAATTTTGAAAAAAAAGGACAAAGACCAAAAAGCATCTAATTTGGATTGTATTATTCTCTTTTAAATAGCATGAGATTTGTGATTATTCAACTTGAATTTTGAGTTATTTTCATGATAGCACATTATAGGAGTTTATTCTATGTTTTAGTATCATGTACATGTTTTCAATGTGAACTCAGCCAATATGCACCATAATCATACTAATTTCTGTAATTTATTAAATTAGATTCTCATCTTAAAAGGCTTAACATATGTAAACCCCCACATTCTATTTGTTTCGATATAACAACGTGATTATTTCTGAAACGCTAATATACGTAATGATGTATGCATGAACTATGTATAGTGTATGAGTAGAAATAAAATGTTAGTTGAGGTAATAGAGTATCCTGTAGAAATCTGGAAGTATTTCGGAGTGAAAACACATATTTAGATAAAATTTGGGTAGAAAGAATTTTGGACACTGCTTCGTATTTGTATCATAACTTTTTATTCTTATGTCCATTTGATCTGAAATTTTGACAGTGGATAGTAGACTTCTAGGGATACAAAAGTGTATTTCAGGAACATTTTCCAAATCGACCTCTAAATAGGTCAAAACTTCACTGGAAGCTACAACAGAAATTGGGAGGACGTTTGAACGTGAATGGACGTTCGAACTGCAGTGAGTCCCAGTACTTTGGTCTCTGCAGATCTCTGATAGAAATGAAAAAGTACTGGGAGCAACCAAAGTTCAAAATTCAAAGTAACGTTCGAACGTGAATCACTAATTTACACTGTGGACGTTCGAACGCCAAATGATGTTCGAATGTCACTTACAAATTCTGGCTTTCAGAATCGCACACAGGACACCATTTCTTCCCCTATAAATACTTAAACACACCTCTCTTAGCTCCATTTCAATATTTCTAACCCTAGGAAACCTTAGAGAGGAAAAAAGAAGGGAAAACACAAGAGATTCAAGTGTTAATTCAAGTGGGAAAGATCAAATCTTCATCTTCACTCAAAACTAAAGATTCAAGGTAGGTTTTCTTTCATTCTTGACCATTGAGGCTAGGGCTTATATGTATACATGTTTTGATTCTAAAGCTTATATATATGCATTGAAAACTTGATTCTTGATATTCTTTCAAAAATTACCATGTTTTAAATAAAGTTAGGGTTAGATAACCTTGAAATCTCTTTTCTTGGTATAAAACCCTAGTTTTCAAAAGAAATAGATTTTTCTCTTGATTCTTCCTTTTTTCTTGATTTAAAAACTCTAATGCTTTATATTGAACAATATAATGGTATTGTTGAGGATCTCTTGCTTATTTTCTTTAACTGTTTTATTGTAATACTTCATGAAAATTTGGGGATTTTGAAATTTGAATGTTATGTAAGAAATTTGTTGGGGATTATATCTTTTGAGGATGTTGGGATGACCATGGGTAGCCATTTACTAGGTATCATAGAGTGGATAGATACATTTCTTATTCCATGTGAGTTTGAATTTTTTCTATTACTCGTAGTGGGGTTGGTGCCTTGTGATGATCAAGCCACTATTAGCTCACGAGTACCGTGGCTGAGGGTTAGTATACTACTCCTGGATTTGATTCGTTACTGTCATTGTGTTGGTATATGCCCTTCCTAAAAGTTGGAGATCTTTGCGAGGATTGGGTGTGTGAGTGTAGGCCAGGATATTCTCAATGTGTTGATTCATGTGATGTCATACATCATGCCTGAGATACAGGTACAAATTCATAGATACAAGTTGTGGTTGATTTACATTATGGGTAGTATTACAAACGGTGGATTGTGGTTCAATGTTAAAATGGTTTATTTCTTGAAAATTGGTTTATCTCTTCATTTAATTATTGCTATTGCGTAAACTGGAAATCTATTGAAATGTGCCTGTTTTATTTCAAATGTTATATATGATATTTGTAAAATGAGATCGGCTATTTTAATATGTTTTCTAAATCTTGTTTAAGTTTGGAGGGATGTTGCTACAGAGTTTAGTGCTCACCCCTACAATATTCATTCTCAGATGTAGGTTTAGATGAAGAGCTCGGAGTTGACGAGCAGATGGCTTGGGAAGCAAAATTGGAGGAAAGCGTGGATCCCCAAGGGGATGTCTAGAGTTGATCTCTCCATGTTTTAGATTAGGGGATATATTTTGGTACACCAATAGATGTATTTTGTTTATTCCGCTGCAAGATTAAGCTTGATTCTTTTGAGATGTAATTGTCATAGTTTGATATATTATTTTGGGATGTAGATGCCATAGTTCGGCATATTCGTTTGGATAACATTGTAGATATTATGAATGATGAATAAAATTATCTTAATTATGGATATTATTAGTTTCTCTAGTGTTGTGAATGGTTTTTAGATTGTAATGCCGTCCAAGGTGGGTTTTGGGGCATTACAACATACATAGTGGAGATGAATGTATTACCTTTGTGAGTTTTTGTGTCATTCTTTATTGGAAGGTTGAAATACATTTATTCAAAAGACTATTCTTTCAAATTCATTCTGTTTCAATAATCTCATTATGTTTTTTTTGGTTAGTGTAAAGGAGCTAGTTAGTTGATTATTCTCAATGCATAAGAAGTACCTTACCATGCATTTTTGAGAAACAATCTTAGGCCATCTTTAAATTAATTTGAAACTTAGCCTATTCTTTCTTGAAATCATCCCTAGAAGCCATGATTGAGCTTGAATGAAAATTTTATTTCTTAACCACATGTTTTGCCAAGCCATTCATAAATGTGTTTATCTTAACTTGGTTATCTCAAGATTGATAATATTTACAATGTGAAGGGGGGATTGTGGTTATAAGAAAAGAAAATAAAAGTGGGAGAAATGAGGATGATGGGTACATGAATTGTTGGCATCCAAAAGCAAAGGAAATAAAGCAATAAATAATGGAAGTGAAAAGAAAATAGAGAAAGAAAAGAAAAGAAAAATTTGTGAAAAGAAAATAGAGAAAGAAAAGAAAAGAAAAATTTGTGAAAAGGAAATAAAAAAGGGGAGAAAGAAAAAGAAATGAATGAGGTGAGCTAATTCCAAATGAGGAGATGTGGTTAGAAAGTTATATTCTCTGGATAACTCCTTTGAATCCCTTTAACCCTTTGTTTCTTTGAATTTTACCCAAGGCCATATTACAACCAGATAAAGTCCTATTTGATCTTGAGAATTGTGGCAAGTATATGTTTTTAATCATGTTAGAGATAGGTCAACTGTACTATTTTCAATTGCCTTAACATTATTTCTTGAGATTATGCCAAGGTTGTTTCATTTGCATGCTTGTCCATTATTTCTAAATTATATGTGGGCTATACCTTGTTTTCAATTACAAGAATTCGTCTCACATATAGACAATGAGTGAAACGTCATTGTAATCGATGGTTCTTTATTTTGAGAGAAAATCCTTGGGGATAATTGCATCAAAGCTAATTTTGAATAGCTAATGTCGATGTGAGTTGTATTTCATAAATTTCTTAAATTGCACTATCATTTCACACACACGAGTCTCTAGTAGAAATATGTATGTGAATACTTTTACATATCATTTAAATCTATGGTGTAGCTTATGTGTAAATATCTTGAGTGGATAGGAGATTTTTATAAAATCTCATTGTTAATTGGGATATTATAATATGTTCTAAGTCCAAGATGTGTAATAAAAGAAGTTTGTAGGTACTTCACTGGAAACCTTCATAATACATCATTCGTCATCCACTAGGGGTGACCTACGAGTTTAAAGGCTTGTTACATTCGCTCAATGCAATCGTGTATCCTAGGAAAGTGGCTTTAGGTTTTATTTAGTGTCTTTAATTGACTTTCACCTTGAATCCTAGGAGCTTTGTAGTTTTGATGCATGTTTTGTGTGTTTCAATTAGCATGTTGAGTGTTATTGAGTAAGTAGGTGTCTCGGGCATGTATATAGGGTTTATAAAGCATTAGGGCCACTTAAATAAAGGTAAGAAAATGAGAAAATCATGAAAAAGGCAAACCAACTGGTTGGATTTGTACTAGTTGGTCAGGGAGGAAAAAAGGCTTGAACCGATTAAACAAGTTGAAGGTGTACCAAATTTTTTTTTGACTTTTTAAAAGGGGAGACTAAAGGTTGTTTCATTCCACTCACAAATTACTTTTCAAGCCACTTTGTCATTCTCTCCCTAGGTTTTATATAACACCTACCATGCCTTTGATCTCCAAATCATCTACCCACCTCCATCGGCATCTCACTCAAAGCTCAAACCCTAGGTTCTACATGACATCTAGGAAATCCATTGGTTCTATTTCTAGCAGCTTTCTATCATGGGTATGGGTGTGTATTATCTTTGTAACTATGATGGGTATTTGTGTAGCATGGATGGCCAAGATCAGAGGGTCTTCATCCTCGGCATCAAGGCCGAGGGCGACAAGGAAAGAAAAGGGTAAGGGTAAGGCTACTCAAGGGAAAGGTGATGGTGATAGTGATGGTGAGCCCTAGGATTCCGAGGGACCTGAGTCTAAGAAATGGCAGAGGGCTACTTATGAGTCAAATATTATATAGAGGATGGTCACTTGTGAGCATATGGTTGACCGCAATAGTCTGGGCAAGATTGTGCTGGTGAGACAGATAGTACATCTAAGACATGATGTCTTCTTCGAGTTAGTCGGCGAGTATATCCTTAGCTTCTATCGTGAGTTTTATACAGGATTACACTTAGTTGACCTTGAGGCTAGGATTTTGAGGACTACCATTCAAGGTTGTATTATTCAGGTTACACTTGATAGTATAGCCAAGTATTTGGGGTACGTTAGACCACAGGCTGATAAGGTTGATTATCCACACTATGAGTTCAGTGCCAAGAGTCTCCTAGAGTATGTGTAGATCATGTTTGAGGATTCCAATAGATTTGATGGTCAGTTTAGCTTGGATAGTTTGCTTACAAAGTATCAAATTATGAATAATATTTTGCATTATAATATATATCCAAAAGGGTCCAAGAAGCGACGTACTTTGTCTAAGATAGTGTTGTTGCGGGAGGTGATGGATGGGGCAAGGATTGATATAGCATTATTCATCTGGGGATTAATCATAAATTACATTTCAGATTGTAAGCCTCGAGGGAACATCCCTTTCTCCAACATGGTAACACAACTGTGTATCAAGACTAATTTTCAAAGGACACAGATGACTCTGCCAGAGAAGGGACCCATTAGTAGTGTTAGTGAGAGAAAGAGCTCTACTATATCTCGAGCTACTATGATGGATAGACCTTCTGGTCTGACTACACCTTCAGCCTTTGTAGTTAGTCCCATTCCACAGACTTCGAGAGCCACTATTCATCAGAAAGTGACAAGGCTAGAGGCCCATCAGTACTGTCAGTGAGAGGAAAAGATCTACTATGTCTCGAGCTACTGGGATGGATAGACCTTCTGGCCCGACTACACCTTCAGCCTCTATAGATACTCCCAATCCACTGACTTTAAGAGCCACTATTCATCAGAGAGTGACAAGGCTAGACGAGAGGATGAGTAGGATGGAGTAGGGACCCAAGTTCAAATAGCCAAGGATTTAGAGTTGTCCTTGATAATACAAAGGAGGTTGTTTGAGGCACTCCTTCTTGGTGAGACTCTACCAGTCATTCCTCCACTAGCTTCCATATCTAGAGCTATAACTTCAAAGGCTGCTGCTCCAACCAATTCAACACCACCTCCAACATTTATGTCTGAGCCAAGGGATACGGTTCAAAAGATAGGCAATAGTGATGATGAGGAAGAGGCTGGGGTTAGACCTGAGGATGAGTTTTGGTTTGAGTAGTTTGTCTTGTTTATTAGTTTTAGTTTGTTAGTTAGTTTTTGTTGTTTTTAGGATGTCATCTAGTTGGGTTGCAATGAGTTAGGATAGGAAACATTTAGTTTTAAAGTTGTTACATTTTGGGTTGTAATGACTTCATTGTGCAATTTTTGTTATGAGTTGATGTGTGTGTGTGTGTGTGTGTTTTGATTGTGTGAGGGATTGATGAACGGATGATTGTATATTTCTCTTTGTTTGATTTGCTAGGGACTAGCAAAACTTAATTTGGGGGGTATGTCGAGTGCATAACATTACATATGTCATAGATTAATTCATCCTCGTTATGCTTTTGGTTAATGTTTAATTCAATGAATTGTGTAAAATTAGAGTAATGGGGTGTATTTATGATTGTAGGTACAAAAGAAGATGAAGGGGAACATGGGGAAGCACACATAAGGTTATGTTAAATCATTAGGATGAAGAGGAGTTGAACCAGAGGAGCAAAATACACTCCAAAATGTTGCCTAGTATTCAACTAGTTGAACATAAACGTTCAACCAGTTCATCAAAGGTTCATCATACTTGTAACAAGATATTGGATATCCTTCAACCGGTTGATCAAGGGCTTCAATCAGTTGAACCTCTCCTTCAACTAATTGATCATATGACAGCTATAGCACACAATTTCTTGAGTTTTAATTTGTCTACAAGGATTGGATTTCTTCACTTCCACACTCAAGGGAAGGCTACCAATACCCATGAGCTCTCCTTTGATTGGTTGTTGGCACCTCCAATACTTCACGTGAGCAATTCCATTGGATGACTTCGGTGGAGGAAGCTTCTTTGGAGGATCAAGTTGACCCAATGCTTGATTAAAAATTAGTTTGATGATGATAAACATCTAAGCATGATCTAATATGTGGATTATATATTTAGTGCTTGTATTATAATTGGTAGCAAGAAGGGGAGATTAAAGGAAGAAGAAAGAAGGAGGACAACAAGTGAAACTAATTTGCAAAATAGTGTGTCGTGCATACCAGATGAATAAAGTAGCATACTGGATGGATGATCAAGCATACCGGTCAGGGAATCAAAAAATGTCAAATATTTCCAACATCTCCACCGATAGCATTTGATAAACCGGCAAGTGTCTCTGACAAACCAGCATACCAGTTGGGGAATCAGCAAAGTTTGAATCCTTCCAGCATCTGGGCAACATATGTGAAGTCTGAAAAATTGGCATACAGGACAAGAAATCCAGTATACCGAATGTAGCCATTATGCAGAAACAGTCACAATCCAGCATACCATCTGGTATACCGGATAAGGCTCTGGGAAAATGTTCAAATTTGCTGAAAATCTGCATTTAGAATCTCCTTTGTTCTCCACTATAAATAAAGGACTTAAAGGCATTTGTGGGTCTTCTTGCACATGTGAACTTATGAGCTAAAAGACAAAGTATATTTTATTCTTTATTATTGAGTTATTGTAAGCTTTAAGGATCAACCATTCTTCCTCTATTGATTTGAGAGAATATTCCTTAGAAGCAAGAGAGAGTGACTATTGTATTCTTCTTGAGTGAGCATTTTAAGATAGGAATGTTAGTATTGTACTCAAGGAAGAACAAGTGTAAAGGTGTTGGAATCTAACTTATTGAATAGATTCAAGAAAGACAAAGGAAACCTCCAAGGGGATAAGGAAGAGATAACGTAGGCGAAACTATTGGGGCCAAACCTCTATAAATCAGTGTGTTTGATTTCTCTCTCTCTCCTCTATCTTTACTTTATATTGTTCTTGTTTACTCACATAAATACATTATCACATTCATCTACATTAGAAATTATCATACAGGTTGATTCATATCACAATTAGTGATATTAATTTTTATTTGGGCATTTGTCCAGTTAACCTAATTCACCACCCTCTTAAGTTGCACTTTGGGCCAACAATTGGTATTAGAGCATGAGCTCCAAGCAAAGTGCGAACAACATTTAGAGCAAAAATATCAATGGCAACTCTAGGAGGAAACATTGTTGAAGGACAATCCATCTCTAGACCACCATTTTTCAATGGTAATGATCATGCATACTGGAGAGCTAGAATGAAGATATACATTATGGCTCTAGATGATGCACTATGGGATGCTATTAAAGAAGGATACACTAAGCCCACTAGTGATAAGAAAACTTGGACTAGTGATGAAAAGAAGGCAGACACTAATAATGTTAAGGCAATGAATATACTCTATTGTGCACTAGATAGAAGTGAATTCAATCACATTTCTACTTATGAAACCGCTAGTCAAATATGGCATATGCTAGAGGTCACACATGAAGGAACTATTACAGTGAAGAAATCTAAGATAAACATGATTATGCATGATTGTGAGCTTTTCAAAGTGGAGCCTCATGGAAACATATCTTAAATGTTTACACGTTTTACTAAAATTATCAATGCACTTTAATCTCTCGATAAATCTTATGCCGATGAGGATCTTGTAAGAAAAATTCTTAGGCGTCTTCCAAAATCTTGGGTTGCCAAAGTGACTGCCATCATTGAATCAAATGATATCAAAGCTCTTCCTCTAGAAGAACTACTTGTGTCTCTCATGATCTAAGAGATAAGTGTCAAAAGAGATGAGGAGATTGAGAAGAATGAAGAGAAAAACATTGCCTTCAAATCAACCAAAGTTTCAAATGAAGAAAACAATAAATAAAATGAAGAAAGTGATGAAGAGAATGCCCTCATGACAAGAAATTTCAAAAGATTTCTCAAGAATCAACGCCCCTACAAGAAAGGGAAAAATTCAAGAAAAAGTGGGATAGTATGTAATGAAAGCNTATATTTCTCTTTGTTTGATTTGCTAGGGACTAGCAAAACTTAATTTGGGGGGTATGTCGAGTGCATAACATTACATATGTCATAGATTAATTCATCCTCGTTATGCTTTTGGTTAATGTTTAATTCAATGAATTGTGTAAAATTAGAGTAATGGGGTGTATTTATGATTGTAGGTACAAAAGAAGATGAAGGGGAACATGGGGAAGCACACATAAGGTTATGTTAAATCATTAGGATGAAGAGGAGTTGAACCAGAGGAGCAAAATACACTCCAAAATGTTGCCTAGTATTCAACTAGTTGAACATAAACGTTCAACCAGTTCATCAAAGGTTCATCATACTTGTAACAAGATATTGGATATCCTTCAACCGGTTGATCAAGGGCTTCAATCAGTTGAACCTCTCCTTCAACTAATTGATCATATGACAGCTATAGCACACAATTTCTTGAGTTTTAATTTGTCTACAAGGATTGGATTTCTTCACTTCCACACTCAAGGGAAGGCTACCAATACCCATGAGCTCTCCTTTGATTGGTTGTTGGCACCTCCAATACTTCACGTGAGCAATTCCATTGGATGACTTCGGTGGAGGAAGCTTCTTTGGAGGATCAAGTTGACCCAATGCTTGATTAAAAATTAGTTTGATGATGATAAACATCTAAGCATGATCTAATATGTGGATTATATATTTAGTGCTTGTATTATAATTGGTAGCAAGAAGGGGAGATTAAAGGAAGAAGAAAGAAGGAGGACAACAAGTGAAACTAATTTGCAAAATAGTGTGTCGTGCATACCAGATGAATAAAGTAGCATACTGGATGGATGATCAAGCATACCGGTCAGGGAATCAAAAAATGTCAAATATTTCCAACATCTCCACCGATAGCATTTGATAAACCGGCAAGTGTCTCTGACAAACCAGCATACCAGTTGGGGAATCAGCAAAGTTTGAATCCTTCCAGCATCTGGGCAACATATGTGAAGTCTGAAAAATTGGCATACAGGACAAGAAATCCAGTATACCGAATGTAGCCATTATGCAGAAACAGTCACAATCCAGCATACCATCTGGTATACCGGATAAGGCTCTGGGAAAATGTTCAAATTTGCTGAAAATCTGCATTTAGAATCTCCTTTGTTCTCCACTATAAATAAAGGACTTAAAGGCATTTGTGGGTCTTCTTGCACATGTGAACTTATGAGCTAAAAGACAAAGTATATTTTATTCTTTATTATTGAGTTATTGTAAGCTTTAAGGATCAACCATTCTTCCTCTATTGATTTGAGAGAATATTCCTTAGAAGCAAGAGAGAGTGACTATTGTATTCTTCTTGAGTGAGCATTTTAAGATAGGAATGTTAGTATTGTACTCAAGGAAGAACAAGTGTAAAGGTGTTGGAATCTAACTTATTGAATAGATTCAAGAAAGACAAAGGAAACCTCCAAGGGGATAAGGAAGAGATAACGTAGGCGAAACTATTGGGGCCAAACCTCTATAAATCAGTGTGTTTGATTTCTCTCTCTCTCCTCTATCTTTACTTTATATTGTTCTTGTTTACTCACATAAATACATTATCACATTCATCTACATTAGAAATTATCATACAGGTTGATTCATATCACAATTAGTGATATTAATTTTTATTTGGGCATTTGTCCAGTTAACCTAATTCACCACCCTCTTAAGTTGCACTTTGGGCCAACAATTGGTATTAGAGCATGAGCTCCAAGCAAAGTGCGAACAACATTTAGAGCAAAAATATCAATGGCAACTCTAGGAGGAAACATTGTTGAAGGACAATCCATCTCTAGACCACCATTTTTCAATGGTAATGATCATGCATACTGGAGAGCTAGAATGAAGATATACATTATGGCTCTAGATGATGCACTATGGGATGCTATTAAAGAAGGATACACTAAGCCCACTAGTGATAAGAAAACTTGGACTAGTGATGAAAAGAAGGCAGACACTAATAATGTTAAGGCAATGAATATACTCTATTGTGCACTAGATAGAAGTGAATTCAATCACATTTCTACTTATGAAACCGCTAGTCAAATATGGCATATGCTAGAGGTCACACATGAAGGAACTATTACAGTGAAGAAATCTAAGATAAACATGATTATGCATGATTGTGAGCTTTTCAAAGTGGAGCCTCATGGAAACATATCTTA